ACTGGGAGAGGGTCAGCAGAAGCAACACCATCTGCGCAACACCATCTGCTGCGGAATCTACACCCATCCCAGTCATCCAAGGTGGCCCTCCTATCGGACGAGGCTATACTTGAGGTAGCCAGTGACATCTGGCAAACTCCAGCTTCCGTTCTGCCTACCAACAGAAGAACGGACAAGAAGTACTTCGTCCCAGCCAAAGGAATGGAGTTTCTCTTTAACCATCCTCAACCCAATTCCTTGGTCATGGACGCGGCTCAGCAAAGAGCCAAAGCGCTGCATTATAAGAATGCCACCGCAGATAAGGACAGCAAGAAACTTGACCTACTAGGCAGGAAAGTATATTCATCGGCAACATTAACACTCCGCATGGTGAATTACTCTGCCTTATTGGCCAATCATAATTTTGATAATTATGCCAAACTTGTCCCTGTCCTTGAACATCTTCCGGAGGGTAAACGTCAAGTCCTGAAAGTTATAATTCAGGAAGGATATGTGTCGTCCTGTTCCACACTACACATCGCACTGGACATGGCCGATGCAGCAGCCCGCACCATAGCCACATCCATAGTCATGTGCAGGGCTTCATGGCTACATATGGCGGCAGTTCCCAAAGAGCTCCAGAGTAAGGTGGAGGACTTACCTTTTGATAGGCAAATGCTGTTTGCGATAAGACTGACCAAGTCCTCCACTCTGGCCAAGACTCACACACAACATTAAGAACCTTGGGTATGTATACACCACCATACCACCAGAAGCGAAACACACCTTATCAAAGGCAGAGACCATTATCCTTCGCACCATCTTGGCCACACCACTATGATCCTCAAAGACCAAGGCAGCATCTCCAGAGGCGACGTCCACAAGTCGCTAGGCCAACCCACCAGCAGTCAACCAAGCAGCAGGTTTGACATGAGCATCGAGGGATTGCTAACCATCCAATTGTTGCACAGTCACAATGTCACCAACGCACTTTTCCATCATCTCTTGAGGCCCTTTCTCCATCGCTAGGCTACAATAACGTCAGATGGATGGATCATTCAGCTTATAACGTCAGGCTACGTGATCCCATTTGCGTGCCCCCCCTCCCACTCCTTCCCCTCCCTCCCTCTTCAGGGACCCATCTCACGAACCTCCTCTCAAGCAGGAGGTAGTGCATCTACTCAACACAGGAACAATAGAGAGGGTACTGGAGGCATTTGAAGGGAGGGGTTTTTACTCCCACTATTTCCTAACAGAGAAAAAATCTTGGGGTTGGAGACCCATACTCGACCTTTGGCGGCTAAACCAACACCTCCACAAGCAGCACTTTAAGATGGTGACGCTAGCAACAATCATACCTGCACTGGAACATGGCGACTGGTTTGCATCCCTTGAGTTACAGGACGCCTACTTTCATATTACCATTCACCCAGCTCACAGACGATTCCTCCACTTCATAGTAGGCACCAACCACTATCAGTACAAAGTTCTTTCATTCAGACTATCGTTAGTCCCCAGGGTTTTCTCCAAAACATTGGCTGTGGTGGCGACATTCCTTCATCAACTAGGGATCATTATTTTTCCATATCTGGACAACTGCCTCCTCAGGGCCTCTGTTGGACTGTTCCCCACAACAAGTTGGCTGGTATTCCATTCCACCGACTTCAACCCATGGTCCAAATTACAACGGATGCATCCCTTCTTGGCTGGGGAGCTCACATGAGAAACAGTCAAGTCCAAGGTCACTGGTCTCCCGAGGAATCCCTCCTCCATATAAACCTACTCGAGCTCCGAACTGTACCCAATGCCTGCAAACATTTCCTACCGCTTATTCGCAACCGAGTGGTGAGGATACTTACAGACAATATCACAACAATTTATTATATAAACAGGCAGGGAGGAGCTCGCTCCCATTCCCTCTGCATAGAAGCTTTCCATCTATGGAACTTCTGCAACCGGCACAACATTTCTCTCGCAGCAGCCTACCTTCCAGAGGAGGACAATATTACAGTGGATGCGCTCAGCAGGCAATTCGCCCATCAACACAAGTGGGAACTACACCTACATGTCCTTTGTACAATATTAGAATGGTGGGGCCACCCATCTGCAGACTCTTCACCACACAGTACAACACAAAGTGCGTATAATATTGCTCAAGGGCAGGCATTGGCCAAGCATACAAAGGTAATGCTTTCCTCTACAACTGGGGCCATCGTCTCCTATATGTATTCCCTCCCATTCCTGTAATCCCCAGGGTCCTGGAGAAGATAATCATGGAGAAGGCAAAGGTGATTTTAATAGCACCATTCTGGCTTTGCCAGACTTGGTTTCCTTACCTGTTTCGAATGTCTCCTCATTCTCCGTACCATCTTCCCAGTTGACCTGATCTACTGACACAAGACCATGGGCAAATACTACATCCACAACCGGATCACCTCGCTCTGTCCGCATGATTCCTAATTGGTTCAGACAGAGAGAGATGAGTTGTTCCTATGAGGTCAAAGATGTGCTGTTACATAGCAGAAAATTCTCAACTCGTAGTACCTACCTCCATAAATGGCAAAGATTCCAAGAATGGTGCTCGGCCAGAAACCTAGACCTTGTCGAATCACCATTACACTACATCTTAAATTATGTCTTACACCTCACACACCTTGGATTGGCCCTCTCATTGTTCAAGGTGCATCTGGCTGCTATTACAGCATTCCATCAGCCTATTGATGGATACACTGCCTTCTCCCATCCGACTATGAAAAGATTTATTAAAAGCCTCACCAACCTTTTCCCTGAGCACAGACAACCTCCGGACCCCTGGAATTTGGAATTGGTCTTAGACACTTTAATGTGTCTACCATTTGAACCATTGGCCATATGTGATTTCTGTACCTTAACTATGAAAGTCCTATTCCTTCTAGCAATTACATCAGCTTGTAGAGTGGCGGAATTAGCGGCTCTCTCGGCTACTCCCCCTTACACCATCTTTACAGCACAGGGAGTAATGTTACGTCCCCCACCATCATTTTTACTCAAAGTTAACTCTTCTTTTCGCATAAATGAATCAAGTATTCTCCCCATATTCTATCCCAAACTACATATTTCGGAACATCACTTGAGACTACATTCCCTTGACGTTCGTAAAGCCTTAGCCTTTTACATAGAAAGAACTCATGATTTCTGGAAGTCCCAGAATTGCGTTGGATGACTGTTCCAGGGGCCACCCACTGTTGGCACAGAGAATTTCCAAAATAATCATTTCTTGCATTATGCACTGCTATGAATTAAGGGACGTTCCAATTCCATGAACCATAATGGCTCACTCTGCTAGAGCAATGGCCTCCTCAGCAGCTTTGCTCAAGGGGGTTCCCCTAAAAGATATTTGCCAAGTGGCTACCTCGTCGTCCAGCCACACTTTCGCAAAACATTACATGCTACAAAACATTCTCATGATGGACGCAGTGGTAGCCACTGCAGTACTTTCCTCAGTGGTAACTAATTGACTCTGAACCCACCGCCTTTAGTCTGGCTACTGCTGTGGAGTCACCCACAGTGGAGCACCCACGGGGACACTACCCGAAGAAAAAGAAGTTACTCTCCCTATGCAGTAATGATGGTTCTTTGAGGTGTGTGTCCCCATGGGTGCTCCACAACCCACCCTCCTCCCCTCTTTGGAGTCTGTTGTTTATGTCTTCCAGGCTTCGATGATCAGGAAGAACTGGCGGAGCCAAACCACGCAACTGAAAATGGCGCAAAAAGCCGCAAGTTGTCTGCTGTGCATGCGTGGTCTGGCAGACAACAGCTAAATGATTTCTGATCTGCAGCACCGGGACAAGCCCAACACCCACAGTGGAGCACCCAAGAGGACACACACCTCGAAGAGCCATCGTTACTGCACAGGGTGAGTAACTTCTTCTCATTCTCAGCCACATGGATGCGTGCAGTTATGTAATGCGCCTTTCCAGACTCAAAATGCACCCATTTCAGCTATGGTTAGCATCAGTGTATTCCCCAGTTTGACATTGTCAGGCGGTCATGGTGCTGACATACATCATTGAGACCCTTACAGGGTGGACAGGGCAGGAAAATCTTATGTCCAGTGTTCTCTTTCAGTAGTCTCTGCACTCAAGGGAACTGGTATCCAACACCTCATACCAGATTTGGTGCTCCCTTGTGATCATTCTGAGATATAACTGTCCTCCATGCTTGCTGCCTCTCTGTGATCATATGTGAGTATAACTGTGCCTGTTATCAAACACCCCTTTTTCTTTGAAGGGAAACAGTCACATTGCACACACATCCCATTGTGCTGGCATAACCAAACCCTAATCTTGCTTTAAGTTATCATAAGAGGAAGCTGCATATCAAATTTGGTAGTCCTAGCTCTTACAGTTTAGTTCTTTAACAAATGGACTCACAGTTGGACACATAGACAGATGCACAAACTCTCTGAAAAATATAGTAGATATCAATAAATATGGAATGTTATCCTGTGGCATTTTAAAATTGTCTTTATGCTGTAAGGGTTTCAACAAAAATAAGCATGATAAACAGAATTATTATTTTATAAATATGCATAGGGAAATACAAAAAAAGTAAGACCATACATCACTGCCACAAAGCGTTTCTAGTTTAACACAGACAAAAGCAAACCAGAGGACAAGAATTCAGTCTCAGGAAGACAAAGACACTGTATTAGATTGATTAGATGAATGCAAAAAGAGGACTTTCTGGAGAGGATTGGGGGTGAGGAAGGGTACTTAGCAGATTTGGAAGGAGGCTAGTGCAACTACAGTGGGGAGCATAAAAAAGGACAGAAAGCCAATCACGAGGAAGAGTAAAGAATAGAGAGAAGAATAGGGTGAATGTAGCATGTGAGGGAAAAGAATGAAGTTAAGAGGGGTATATGTGTGTGCAATGTAAGGTTATGAATGTAAGGATAAGGAGTTTGGGATCATATTTCTGTATTCTAGTTTCAATGTATCTTTAACATTATTTTTAAATTTTTGTTTGTTTGTTTGGAACAGGACTATCTTGAGATTAAACGAATGGTTTTTCCAAGATTTTATTTTCTCAGCAATGCTGAACTTCTTGATATTTTAGCTGAAAGCAAAAATCCTGAAGCTGTTCAGGTAACATTTTGGAATGCCATTCTAGGAACATTCTTTTTGTTACACATAGTGAAAGACTGTTCATATTTTATTCTGCTATTTTCTTTTATGTCTCTTCCTCAGCCTCATCTTGTGAAATGTTTTGCGAATACCAGGAAGTTACATATACTCAGATATGACCAGAGCTCTCCAGTGGTGGTGATGATCAGTTCTGCTGAAGAAGAGACTCTTTTAGTGCCAAAGTATGGTATATATACATGTCATTATTATAATTAACACAATGATATTTTAAAAAATATCTGCTGATTTTTTTTAGATGGCTCTTTATAGTAAAAGTCTATAACTTTGGATGGATTCCTTGATACAGATAGTGTTGGTATAAAATTACTGAAACTTGTGCCAGGTTGCTTCAACAGCATCAAAGCTTCTTTATGCCTCATCATAAACATGGCAGATGCCATCGATGGTGCTGCTTCAAGAGAGATGTCCCCGTGACTGCTTCATATCTGGTCTTGGTGCTGTCCCTGCACCTGGGTTGGAGATTTTGAAACAGTCCCTGCGCGGGCTGCACATATGTGGAGCCAATGGTGTACGCAGTGCTGCTCAGAACTGTGCATGCACACCCAGAGCACTCCAGTTCCTTCTCAACCAACCCCAGCCTGAGACGGAGCTCTGCAGTTCTCTGTATTCTTCTAAGCTTTTTCTACTTAAGCATAGTTTATTAGCCAGTTAGTGTTGTCATATAGTTGTTATTCATAGTATAAACTTGTTTTCTTTATCAAAATGCCAAGTTCCCTGGGCTTCAAGTGCTGCATTTCCTGCATGGACACAATGCCTGTTTCCGAGGGACATTCACAATGCATCAGATGCCTCAGTGAAGATCACCCACCTCAGTACTGCCCTGACTATGCCAAGCTTAAGGCCAAGATTTACAGGGATATAGATCTCTGCCGTAAAGTGATTCTTCTGGAGAAGAATCTTCACCCTGCTTCGGACTCAGGATCACAAGCTAGGGTAGTATGATAACCCTCAGATTCTCCTAATGGCACATCATTTTCTTCCCCATTTTTTGCAAACCATTTGTCTCATTTCCATTGTAGATGGGGCCACATCACAACACACAAGTGGGTTCTAAACCTGGTGGAAGTGGGATATACACTTCAATTTATTTCTTACTCTCCTGCCTACCCTCCCTGTCAGTGATACTCCTATTACTCACACCAAGCAGAGCATCAACAATTTAATGAATATTACCAACAATGCCAGACCCCAGGGCCCAAAGACATTGCTCTCCACCTTCTGGGGTGAACCAACCTGCAGCCTTCAATAAGCAAATTTAAGGCATCAGTCAAGAGCATTGAAAACAATTGAATCTCCCCAGTTCTTACAGAGAACAATCCATCCTTCACCTTCTGTTTATAATCATTCTTCCACAACTGGGAAGCTATCACCTCAGACCATTGGGTCTTAGAGATCTTTCAGTCAGGATATACCATCTCATTCACATCCCCATTCCCCAACCATCACCCTTTTCCATCCTTCTTCAGGGACCCTTTTCATGTGCTATTACTTTGTTCAGAGGTGCAACACCTTATCCACCTTGGAGCCATAGAGCCAGGGTCTACTCAGCACAGGGGGAAACGTTTTATTCACATTACTTCTTGACATAAAAGAAAAATGGGGGAATGCAACCCATTCCAGACCTCTATGGTTTGAACAAATATATACAAAAACAAAAATTCCGGATGGTCACTCTCTTTCCACAATAATCCCAGCACTGGTGTAGGGAGATTGGTTTTCAGCTCTCGACCTCCAAGATGTATATTTTCATGTTACTATCCACCTGGCACATAGGCGCTTACTCAGATTTACACTTGAGAACCACTATTATCAATACATTGTCTTTCCTTTTGGTCTCTCCACAGCACCATCAATGTTTTTAAAACACAAGTCAACATTAACACCTACCCAATAAATCCACTTTATAGGGGCTTTTCTCAACTCCACTATTCACTATTGGTCGAGACTCACTGCCACAGGAAAGATTCAGAGCAATCTGCAATCTCGTACACACCATTTCCATCAGCCTATAGGTCATGGCTTGTGACTGCCTCCAGCTACTAGGACACATGGTAGCCTCTACCTTTATCATCTCCAGTGCCCGACTGCATGAGATGCCTTCAAATTTGGGTAGCTTCGGTATGCAAACCAAAATGGCACAAACTCCTCAAGTACCTTACAATGCCTTCTGCAGTCAAAGACTCACTACTGTGGTGGACCATCCCACTACACATATGCAAAAGGGCTCCATTCCAACAAGAACCCCACACAATCACCATCACAACAGATGCATCCCTCACAAGATGGGAAGCATACATCGGACAAACCACAATGCAGACTATGGTCCATTTTCAGAACCACTCTCCATGTCAACCTCCTCAAACTCAGAGCTATACACCACGCCTGCTTCCATTTCCTCCTTGTCATCAGTGGCTGCAATATAAGGATCATGACAGACAACATAGCATGTATGTTCTATGTGAACAGGTAGGGTGGAGCTCGTTTCCACTCCCTTTGCACAGAGGCCATCAAACTCTGGAACTGGTGCTTCAAACACATCACCACCATAACTACCACATACCTATCCAGCATCCAGAATGCCACCATTGACAAACTTAGTAGTTGCTTCCCTGTACAACATGTGTGGGAGTTGGATAGTTCTGTCCTAAACACCATTTTTGAATGCTGGGGGTTTCTCCAACTCAAATTATTCACAACAGCCCAGAACAAAAAATGCCCAAAGTTATGTTCTAGAGCAGGTCTGGAATCCTACTCCAGGGCATATGCTTTTTCGCTCCCATGGACTGACATTTTTTTTTATAACCTTCCTACCCATACCCATATCCATACCAGTACCCAACAGGGTAATACAGAAGATCAGAACAGACAATTCACAAGTAATCTTAATAGCACCAGCATGGCCCAGGCAACTGTGGTATCCCTTCCTGACGGGACTGTCAGCCAATATCCCCATCCCCCTTCCACTCTGGCTCAATCTTTGATCTCTATGCAATGGCCAGATTATTCACCCAACATAGACCCTCTGCATCACAGAGCCTGGCTACTCAATGGTTCTCTCATGAAGAGCTAGTGTGCACAGAACCAGTATGCACACTCCTCCTACACAGCTGGACTCTAGCCACATGCACTACCTGCCTCCAAAAATAGAAGAGGTATGATGCTTAGTGCACTCAGAAATATACCTCCCTAACCTCTGCACCTCTTCACTCAATCCTTGAATATTTACAGGAACTTAAATTGACAGGTCTCTCTACTAACTCCATCAAGGTCTGTCACGGTTAAATTCTCCAACCTGGCACTTCTAGTGGTGGTAATGGGAGCCAGCTAGCAGAATAAACTCTGTAAGAACCTGTTTCTGTAACTTCCAGAGACAAACTTGTCCGGTCTCAGTTTCCCTGAGATCTCCCCCTCCCCCTGCACACAAAAGGTAGCTGCTACCACCAAGTGTCATTTTGAATTAAAAACTAAAGAAAATAAATAAACCTTTTTACAGGGAAGAAACCACTTGGAATTCCTTCCCTGTGGCAAAGCTCTTCCTCCCCCCCAACCTCCGTTCTGCTAGGAGTAGGGGGAAACAAACATAGATAATCTGCAGAGATAATGGGGCTCTGTTTCTCCCAGGTTATGTGAGTTCACTTAGGCAGTAGGTTTAAGGACACAAAAATCAACCAATACTGGTTAACAAAACAAAAAGAAAACACTTTTATTATTAAAATAAGACTATTGTTGCAAGCTTAGTCAATGACTAGGTGCTAAAAGCCATGGATTGAAATAGACTCAGGGATTCTCCCTGGGCTGTAATTCTTAGTTACAAAAAGAGAAAAGAAAAACAATTAACCATCTCAGGCATGATTTCCAAACCTACAAACAAGGAAACCAATAAAACCTGATCTTGATTGAAATTCCTTATCTGCATTTCATGTTAGAAATCATTACAAAAGGAATAGAGCATAAGACAAAGAATATCTTATTGCCTCAGTATGAAACCATGGGACACCCACATCTTGAATGCTGCGTACAGATATGGTCGCCTCATCTCAAATAAGATATATTAGCATTGGAAAAGATTCAGAAAAGGGCAACAAAATTGATCGGGGTTTGGAATGGGTCCCATATGAAGAGAGATTAAAAAGACCTGGACTTTTCAGCTTACAAAAGAGGAGACTAAGGAAGGATATGATAGAGGTGTATAAAATCATGACTGGTGTGGAAAAAGTGAAAAAGGAAAAGTTATTTACTTGTTCCTGTAATATAAGAACTAGGGGTCACCAAATGAAATTAATAGGCAGCAGGTTTAAAACAAACAAAAGGAAGTATTTCTTCATTCAGCTTACAATCAACCTGTGGAATTCCTTGCCACAGGATGTTATGAAGACTAGGACTTTAACATGGTTTAAAAAAGAGCTAGATAAATTCATGGATGTTAGGTTCATCAATGGCTATTACCCAGGATGGGTAGGAATGGTGTCCCTAGCCTCTGTTTGTCTGGAAATGGATGACAGGAGAGGGATCACATGATGATTACCTGTTGTTTTCATTCCATCTGGGGCATCTTGCATTGGCCATTGTTGGCAGACAGGATACTGGGCTAGATGGACCTTTGGTCTGACCCAGTATGGCCATTCTTATGCTCTTAGGGCTAACAAGCACCACCGGTTCCTGGAATCTATCCTCTTGAAAGCAAAACAGATTTGGCAATGCCATATTTTTGACTTGATGATGAACTGCACAAAAAAGGGTGTTGAATGAAAGAGAATATAAAACAAATGCCGTCACCAGCTGACTGATGACTGAATTGATGTTATAAATAACTCTCTGGTTGTTACACAGAAGGGAATTATGAAACACATGGGTTTGTCACACCAGGAAAGACACAAGGGTTTGTCACACATGGGTTTTTGCTCCAAAAATAGGTAAGGCCCTACCAAATTCATGTCCATGAAAAACACATCACAGACCATGAAATCTAGTTTCCTCATATGAATTCTGGTCTTCTGCATGCTTTTCTCCTATGCTATAAAGATTTCACAGGGGACACCAGCATTTTTAAAATTGGGGGCGCTGACCCAGAATGGTCACAATACTACCAACTTTACTTCTTTCTGCTCTGCCTTCAGCGCTGAGTGGACAGAGCTGCTTAATGAGGGCCCAGCACTTCAGACAGGAGCACAGACGTAAGGGAAGCAATACCATACCATGTCCTTTCTCTGTTGTTGCTGGAAGTGACTCTGCCTTAAAGCTGGGATCCCTGGTAACAGTTGTCACTCTCTAGCTGCCTATCTCTGAAGGCAGTGTTGTCACCAGCAGCAGCTCAGAAATAAAGATAACAGTACAACTTCCCCTGCACTAACCTTATGATCCCCCGCCACAATACTTTTTTGAGTCAGTAACCCTACAATTACAACTGTGACTTTTCAGATTTAAATAGCTGAAATAATGAATATATTATTTTTAAATTCCTATGACTGTTGACCAAAATGGATTGAATTTGGTAGGGACCTAAATATAGGAAAAATGAGAAAATTAATAAGCTTTGATATATGCTGTGCAGTCCATCATGGGCATGGACAAGTCCTGCAAACCCCTGGGCAAAGTGTGTGTGGGCTGGTCACTGCTGCTTCTGAAAGGAGTTGGGCCAGAGGCAGCCAGCCTGAGCATTTCCTGGAGTGTACCACACCACTCCCAAGCAGCCCCTGCATAAACCAGAGTTCAGTGTGCATCCCTGCAATTGCCCTTTGCCTGAACACCTGCCTCCTTTCCCCTCCCCAGTCAGAGTGCCTATATCCAGTGAGCTGGCTACCTATGTGCACACAATTTTTATTGAAAATTTGTTCCAAAATGGATTCTCACAGAGATAGATTGTACTTTAAGTTAAATTTTTGCTGTCCAATTGGTTCACTAAAAAGATATCCTATTAAATTGACTGAGGAATGACTTCCATACTTCTAAGTCGACTTTCATAGCTCTGATAACCCAGATAACTTAAGGAGGCTCTCTGACCCCAATTGTGGAGGATGCAAGCCAGGCACAGAAGGCCCTCCCTGGGAGTGTCCCTTAGGACAAGTGTCCTAAGATCCTCTGTAACTACCTGAGTGTAGTCTTTGTAGCACCCTGCCATTAACAGAGGAGCCTCAGAGTTTAAACAAAATTATGAGCATCTCTGTATTCTCCAGACAGCAAAAACTAACAGAGACGGCATTTGTCCTTTTGACTTCTACTTTCTCCTGCATATTTGTTTGAGCTATATATTCAAATCCTTCAATGGATTTTAAATTTGTTGCTTGTACATGATATCTCTCCCCTTCATATGGGCTCCGAGAGCCAAATAAAAAACCATTACAAATATAATCAGCATATTTTTTGCTAGGATAGTCCAATTAATGGCCCTTAATACTTCTAATTTATTTGGAGATGGTGCTTTTTGTCTCCACTGTTACCTTCTTGACTGTTCTGTTGGAAGTCCCAGGCCTTTGATGACTGCTGCTTCTTTTCTCAAATTGAAAAGGGACTACATTACTCTGGGCTGACTTCATATATCACACTTCTGGATATATAAGAAAATCCAGGGTCTGATTATCTGTGATTTTCCCCCCCAACCATTGCTTCTTAGAAATCTTATTCTTTTTTCCCCTTCCTATTATCCTTGTCATCATTTCTAAATAGGAGAATGAACATTCTAACACATTCCCCTCTCCAAATCTTATCTTTAGCTGCCTTAGGCTAAAGATAATGTGCTCCCAGTGGTTTAGCATGGAGCGAGTGGTATCACTATAAACTGTGTCCTTGTACTTCAGGGTTCTGCCTCAGGACCTTGCACATGCCCCTGTGCTCTTGTGTTTCATGTGAGATTACTTGCTCCAGACATAGTTCATAAGCTTTCAGCCATGAATGAAGCCAGAGAGACAACTACTCTTCCAACCCATCCTACAGCTGTATATCCTATTCCTTTGGCATGCATATTGCTGGCGCTGCTCCTGCCATGATTCCACAAGCCTCCCTTCCAGCCACTCTCATTGTGTTTCCAATCCTGTATTGGAAGGTGTATGGTCTATGTGCATGATCTTGCAGAGAGCCATCCCTTGGCTCAGACTAAACCTTAGTGTTTGGGTCCCATATTTCTTGGTAATGTGATCCAAGGCTGAACTTTCTATGGATTTCTCCTTCCCTCTGCCCTTAAGGGTTTGCTTTATAACATTTGCTGGCACACCTTAACTCATGCTTTGGATGTCAGTCGCTGACTTGCCATCTGAAGTTGGGATATTATTCCTGGGCACCCTGTGGTTGTTAGCTGGCCTTTTCTTTCCAGTACTTGCTAGCTGATCCTCACCTGTATCCTTGAACATGGTTTGGTATACAAAGTTCTCTTGCAAATTCTGATGGTCAGAGCTCTCTTGGAAAGAATTGTCTATGTACCCATCTGCCGGTCTGTGGAAATAAAAACTATGACCCCTCCAAACTTGCTTGTCTGAAGCCACTGTTTTGGAAGATGTTTCAGAAATGTAAAAACTTACCAAGAAATTGTGTTTTATAGCCCCTTGTCTTTCAATACATGCGTTAACCAACTTTTAGGGTGCAGACATGATCCCACTAAAAAATTCGATCTGGTGTGTGTGGGTACATGTACACTGAGGGTTCATATAGACTATGCGGAATGGTCGAAAGAGGATATGCAAATTCTCTGAGAATTTGCATGTCTTCTTCTGATCGCACTTTCGAGAACTTTTGAAAGTGAAAGTAGTTTAGATGCGGCTTTTTTGGCGAACCTCCCCCCTTTGTCGAAAGCCACGTAAACCTCATTTTTTGAACGAATTACTTTGTTCTCTAGACCCACACCAAACCTGGCCACTGGAGTCTGGATCAAAGCTCAGTTTCCTGAGAGGTTATGAATTTTTCCTTACCCTTCACCTTCCCAAGATATGCAGCGAAAAGGATTTAAAATAAATCTGGGGAGATGTGTTTAATTGACCAAGGGGCGGGGGATTCGCCAAAAAAGCAGCGTCTAAAGTATTTTCACTTTCGAAAGCTCCGCTTTCAAAAGAGTGATACGAAGAAGATATGCAAATTCTCTCAAAAATTGCATATCTTCTTTTGATCATTCCGCATAGTCTAGATGAGCCCCAAGTGTGAAATAAATACGGACTATAAATCACAAAGAACTAGAATTACTTTACATAACCATTCTTTCCTGGATGTGATCCTCTATGCAATACCCAAGGAGTCTAATCACACAATGGCAAAATTTCCACTGATTTATTTGGGAGTTGTGCACATGAATGAGCAGCATAATCAGGACCTAAGAATTCTGTAGTCACTGGAAAAAGACAGTGATACCAAAGGAGAGGAAATATTTTCTCAGTGTCTGGATTAAGACCGAGTGGATAGCATTAAGAAAGAAGAGATGCAGTAGAATTCCTTATGTCTGCAATTCATATAAAGTTTTAAGAATATGAAATTAAAACATTCAGTTGTTTTTCAGTAAATGTTGATTTTTCAAATTCAACATTGCAGGAATATTCGTGTTAGAGGCCCAGTTGAGCAGTGGTTAGGAAATGTAGAGAGCAGCATGTTTGATATGGTAAAAAAGTAAGTATATATTTTCCATTGAATACAAAATTATAACAATAATTTGTGTTTATATATTTATATGTATTTGTGGGACAAAGATAGGGTATGTCTAGACTACAAGCCTCTGTCATCAGAGGCAAGTAGATTAGGCTACCCAGCATAGAGAAATGAAGCTGCGATTTAAATAATCGCGGCTTCATTTAAATTTAAATTGCTGCCGCGCTCTGCCGACCAGCTGATGATCAGCTGTTTGTTGGCATATTGGGGCAGTCGAGACGAGCGGTGGTCGACAAGGAAGCCTTTGTTTACCTGCACCAGTCAACAAAGGCTTCCTTGTCGACTGCGGCGCGTCTAGACTGCCCCGATCTGCCAACAAACAGCTGATCATCAGCTGGTTGGCAGAGCGTGGCAGCCCTTTAAATTTATTTAAATTCATTTCCCTATGCAGGGTAGCCTAATCTACACGCCTCTGGTGACAGAGGCATGTAGTCTAGACATACCCTGAATCTCTACCCCTCAAAAAGCTTACACTTGAAAAAGACACTTACAATCATTTTAAAAAAAAAAAACGCCCCAACCAAGTGCATACCATAAATTCTCTTGTCTGGAGTTAAATGAAAACTGACAATGTGTAGAATTTCAGGCTTATGTTTGATAGCATTGGCATTCAGGAGTGTTTAGAAATTATTTGAGATGATGAGACTACTTCTTTCAAGACATCAGAGCATTATTTCAACAATATTGCATTGCTGATTCCTGGTGAAGTTGTGATTTATCATAGCCCCCAGATGTTTTTCAGCAGTGCTGCTGCCAAGCAAGTTTTCCCCCATTCTGTATTTGTTCATTTGTTTTTAATTCCCTAAGTGTATCCCATTACACTTTGTAGAATTTCATTTTGTTGCCTATAGCCCAGTTCTCCCATTTATCAGGATCCCTCTGAATTTTAGCCCTATCCTTTGAAATGTTGGCAACCCATGTAGTTTTGTGTCATCTGAAAACTTGATCAGTACGTTATCTCACATTTCTCTAGCTCACTTATCAGATTTCAGCAAGGCTTTTGACAAAGTATAATTTGTCCGCCACGTTCCTCCATCCACCAAATCAGCTACCATGTCAAAGAAGGAAATTAAACTAGTTTGGCATGATTTATTCTTGGAAAATCTATTCTGGTTTATAATGATTACTCCTTAGTTCTTCACATACTCACAAATTGAAAGTTTTATACATTGCTTTAGTATCGTCCAAGGTATCAAAGTAGGCTGGCTGGTCTGTAGCTTCCCGGCTTTCTTTACCACTTTTTCAAAATGGAAACTGTATGCCGTTTTCTAATCTTCCGGGATCTCTTCTGTCATCAATGACTTTGTAAATGTTATTGCAATGGCTCTGAGGTTTATTAAACTAAGTCCTTCAGTATCCTCAAGTGAATAGCATCCAGCTTTGCTGGTCTGAATTAATTCAACTTGGTCAGAAGATTTGTAATGTGTTCTTGACTAATCCCAATCTACATTCCTTTCTCTTCATTGTCTATGGTAACATTGCTAGTTGTCCAGTCCCATGTTATTTGATGTGAGAGTCAGCATCTAGTCATCTTCTGTTATCAGCTCACCCTCTCCATTGAGCAGCAGGTCTATACTATTCTTGATCTTTCTTTTTTGTTGGACGTATATGAAGAACCCCTTCTTGTTTCTAACATATCTTGCCAGCTGTAATTTATTCTTTGCTTTGGGTTCCCATATATGCCTCCTTGGTGACATGTCCCTCCTTCATTTTCTTGTATGTGTTTTGTTTTTATCTTTTGTTTTTTACATAGCTAAAAACTCCTTTTGCAGCCACATTGGCCTCCTGTGGCTCTACTTATCTTTCTTTTGTTTTGGAATAGCCTGATGTTGAGCCTCTAGCCAGCCCCTTTGACTCTTTTTCTTTCTAATTGGTCTTTTCTTGGGACCTTGCTTACTATTTCTCTGAGTCCATTGAAATCTGTCTTTTTGAAGCCCAATATTCATAGAATCATAGACTAATAGGACTGGAAGGGACCTCAAGAGGTCATCGAGTCCAGCCCCCCGCCCTCAAGGCGGGACCAAGCTCCGTCTACACCATCCCTGACAGATGTCTATCTAACCTATTCTTAAATATCTCCAGAGAGGGAGATTCCACCACCTCCCTTGGCAATTTATTCCAATATTTGACCACCCTGACAGTTAGGAATTTTTTCCTAATGTCCAATCTAAACCTCCCCTGCTGCACTTTAAGCCCATTACTCCTTGTCCTGTCCTCAGAAACCAAGAGGAACAAATTTTCTCCTTCCTCCTTGTGACACCCTTTTAGATATTTGAAAACCGCTATCATGTCCCCCCTTAATCTTCTTTTTTCCAAACTAAACAAGCCCAGTTCATGAAGCCTGGCTTCATAGGTCATGTTCTCTAAACCTTTAATCATTCTTGTCGCTCTTCTCTGTACCCTTTCCAATTTCTCCACATCTTTCTTGAAATGTGGCGCCCAGAACTGGACACAGTACTCCAGTTGAGGCCTAACTAGTGCAGAGTAGAGCGGCAGAATGACTTCACGAGTTTTGCTTACAACACACCTGTTGATACAACCTAGAATCATATTTGCTTTTTTTGCAACAGCATCACACTGTTGACTCATATTCAACTTGTGGTCCACTATGACCCCTAGATCCCTTTCCGCCATGCTCCTTCCTAGACAGTCGCTTCCCATCTTGTATGTATGGAACTGATTGTTCCTTCCTAAGTGGAGCACTTTGCATTTCTCTTTATTAAACCTCATCCTGTTTACCTCTGACCATTTCTCTAACTTGCTAAGGTCATTTTGAATTATGTTCCTATCCTCCAAAGAAGTTGCAACCCCACCCAGTTTGGTATCATCAGCAAACTTAATAAGCGTACTCTCTATCCCAATATCTACATCATTGATGAAGATATTGAACAGTACGGGTCCCAAAACAGACCCTTGCGGAACTCCACTTGTTATCCCTTTCCAGCAGGATTTAGCACCGTTAACAACAACTCTCTGTATTCATGTTTTATTGTTCTCATGCCCTTTTATGTAAAAGATCTTGAATTATATCATATCATATCAAGTCACTGACCATCTTCATATTTGCAACCAAGTCATCCATATTGGTCAAAGCCAAAGCCAAAATGTCTGGCCTGCTAGTTGTTTCCTCAATTTTTTGAGTCAGAAAGTTGTCCCCTACACATGCTAAGAATTTGCACAATGTGTTATGTTTCCTGGAATTGTCTTCAAACAGATATCAGGGAAATTTAAATCCCTCATTACATCTTGTTACCTGCTTTTAGAATGACTCATTCATTTCCTCTTTTTGATTTGATGATCTGTAATGGACTACCACCATAACATCTCTACCATTCTTTTGCTGTGTTATCTTTACCCAGAGATTCTCAGCAGATCTGTCACTCATTTCCTCTTAAACACCAGAGTAAGTGTAACATTCTTGATGTTCAGCACAACAGCTCCTTCCCCCCTCCCTCATATATATCCTTTTGGAGCAAGATATTTTCCTTGGTACTGGTACTCCAAATATGGAAGTTGTCCCACCTAGTCTCTGTAGGTATGTCTACACAGCAGGTATTTGGAAATAACAGCCGTTATTTCGAAATTACTTTACTAGCATCTACACAGCCAAACCGCCATTTCAAAATTAATTCAAAATAGCGGAGCGCTTATTACAAATTTGATAAATCTCATTCCATGAGGAATAACACCTAATTCAAAATAGCTATTTCAAAATAAGTGCTGTGTAGACACTTACATCGAAATAGGGGGCCTCCAGCCTTCCCAGGGTGCTCTGATGGCCACTCCAGCCTCAACCAAGAACACGCCTCTCCCTCTCCACTCCCTGGAGCCCTTAAAGGAGTTGTGCTCCAAGCCTGCCAGCCCAGAGCCAGCAGTCACTGCCCCTGACCCAGTGGCCCCAAAACATGAGCCAGCAAGCCATTGGCAGCCAGCTGCCCCCCAGGAGCAGTCTGCCAGCTAATAGGAGCCTGCCAGGGCCTGGAGAAGGCAGGCGCCTTCCTGGTCTAGGGTAGAGATCATGGACTTTATTCAGGTTTGGGGGGGATGCCCCCAATGTCCATGATCTCCGCACTAGATGGAGGAACGTGACCGTCTATGGCAGGATAGCTGCCAGCCTGGCCACCAAAGGTCACATGAGAACCCAGGAGCAGGTTTGCATGAAAATCAAGTTGGTCCGGCAAGACCCCCAACCCTGAGCCCTGAGCTTCCTCTCCCCCTTCTTCCACTTGCTTCCCCTTTCCAGCTCCCTACTTCCAGGTTTCCCCCTCCCCTCTCCCACCCTCTCCTGCCTCCTTTCCCCAGTCTCACCTGAGTTTCATTCCCCCTCCTCAGTTTTGTTAAATAAAGAGAGTTTGTGTTCATGAAAATACATGCATTTTATTTGACATCAGGAAGAAGGGTTTGGGAGAGGTAAGTGGAAGGATGTGAGGGAAGAATGAGGCACAAGCCCCCAGTGGGGCAGACCAGGGAGGCTCTTAGTGCTCCTCAGGATGGAAGCTTTCCCACAGGGCCTCCTGGATACTGACAGTTCCCGATGGACCTTCCAGATGGTAGCCTGAAGAAAGTGCAGCCAGGCTCACAGCAACATATCTACAAGAAGCATACCCAGGGGCAGCTCTGGCTCCATATTGCAGAATGCTGTGGTATCCCAAGTGAGGGCAACCAGAGCACTCAGAGGGTATGTCTACACTACCCCGCTAGTTCGAACTAGCAGGGTAATGTATGCATACCGAACATGCAAATGAAGCCCGGGATTTGAATTTCCCAGGCTTCATTTGCATAAGCCAGCCGGCGCCATTTTTAATTGCCGGCTTGTTCAAACCCCGTGCCG